TAAGTGTATTGCCTCCATGCATGGACAAAAGAGGGCGCTTTATAGTAAAAACAAGCAGAAACCGGAATGAGGGACACTTCACTGGTTCACTCATGCTGGTTATCGTGTATTTGGTACCAGCATTTATAAGCCACGATGGTGCCCAAATGGCCCTCGTTTAAAGTTTTCTCTGTGGAGGGGGGGGGGGGGGGGGTGCTTGAGCGCAAGGAGGAGATTCTACCTTCTCGTTGAGCGTAGTGACTTCCTCCTTGCTGATCTTCCAAGGACACTTCTCCGTGGTCTCCCCTGCTTCCTCATCCAGCATCCAGGGTTTGGACAGCTCCTTGAACCGTCTCAGGCTCTACTCCTTGGGCTTCTTGTTCAGGTCCGGGATGACCTCCACGTCCGAGCAGTTGATGCAGAACTTGCTGAGCATGTTGGCCATGTTCATCTGCTCCCTGTCCATTTGCTCCTTCTTGCCCGTGGTGGCAAAGATGCGCAGCTTGCATTTCTCCCAGTTGGATTTCATGGAGATGAGGTGTGGGATGAGTAGGGTCAAGCCTGGGGGTGGTGGGAGGTGGGGGCGGAGGTGGGGGGGGGGGGGGTCACAAACAAAAATTATACAGAGCATTATTTCCCTTTGACATAAAGCATGTGTTTCCGTAGATATGCAGCCATCCAAAATAACCTGAGAGATCTCTGAAAGGCTCCATGAAATGAATTGGACACTGAAACATATATTAAAATAATAAGGCCAACCAAGAACAAAAGTGTGGTGTTTTCTATTACATATATTGGGGGTTTGACATTTCTATAGTCTAAAAATATAGGGTGGGATGATAGTCATTAAAATTTACTTTTTTTTCTCTATTTTGCATGCATTAGTTAACATGTGAATCATTCTGCAATACTGACCAACTTACACAAAAATAAATATAAAGTTTATAGTTTTCACTGTGGGGGGGGGGGGGGGGTGCTTGATCCCAAGGAGGAGATTCTACCTTCTCTTTGAGCGTGGTGACTTCTTCCTTGCTGATCTTCCAAGGAAACTTCTCTGTGGTCTCCAGGCTGCTTCCTCATCCAGCATCCAGGGTTTGGAGAGCTCCTTGATGATTGTGTTGGTCTTGATCTTACCCAACCAACAGCACAGAACTCCATCTTGGGCAAAATCTTGTCCTTGTACCAGCCTTCAGAAAAAGAAGAAAAAAACAGTCAATTGTTATTTAATGATCGTTAACTTGGTTATCGTTAAGATCGGAGTAAACCTGAAGTTAATACAACCTAGATATACCTCACGGTATACCAAACGTTAAATCTGACACCGTGGCAGCAAGGAGATTTCCACCTTTCTATGAATATGCCTTTGAATGAGCATGACGACTATTTATAAAAGATATAGACATATATCATACTCGGCAATAGGGATAGTCAGTGGAAAGAACTTGGGACAGGTGTGTACAAAGTTACGCGCAAGACTCAGACTTGTTTTAAGCGAATTACTGAGAAGACGACCATAATTATTGGTAATGAGGATACTTTTGTTATGGAGTAGATTAACCATCTTGGTTAGGGGGATATTTTTTAGAAGGGAATTATGGAGGAGACTAACCATCTTGGCTAGGGGGATATTTTTCTTAGAAGGGAACTATGGAAGAGACTAAACCATGCTTGGCTCGGAGGGTGCTTTTTTTGAAGGAAATTATGGAGGAGACTACCATATTGGCTTGGAGGATATTTTTTTAGGAGGGAATTACCGAGGGGACTAACCATCTTGCCTAGGAGGATATTTTTTAGAAGGGAATAATGGAATAGACTAACCATCGTGGCTAGGAGGATATTTTTTTTAGAAGGGAATTACAGAGGAGACTAACCATCTTGGCTAGGAGAATATTTTTTAGAAGGGAATTATGGAGGAGAGGAACCATCATGATTAGGAGGATATTTGTTTTAGAAGAGATTTATGGAGAAGACTAACCATCTTGGCTAAAAGGACATTTTTAGAGGGAATTTATGGAAGAGACTAACTATCTTGGCTAGGAGGATATTTTTTTTAATAGGGAATTATGAAGAAGACCAAAGATTTTAGGTGGAAAATGGACCGGAATATTGATGTTTAATATGTCGAGTTCCACTTGGCAAATAAAATGAACTACTTAAGGGTGGTTCAATTTGCACTGAAAGCGATCAATACTAATATTTGAAAAATAACCCACCAGAATGTCAAGGGTTTGACACAATTAACAGATGTTGCAAGACTGGACTTAAAATCACACAAACCAGGGACTAAGCGTAAATTGGATACTGGGAAAGCTTTAAGTGTATTGTCTCCATGCATGGACAAAAGAGGGCGCTTTATCAAACAAGCAGAAGCCGGAATGAGGGACACTTCACTGGTTCACTCATGCTGGTTATCGTGTATTTGGTACCAGCATTTATAAGCCACGATGGCGCCCAAATGGCCCTCGTTTATAGTTTTCTCTGTGGGGGGGGGGGGGGGGGGGTGCTTGAGCGCAAGGAGGAGATTCTACCTTCTCGTTGAGCGTAGTGACTTCCTCCTTGCTGATCTTCCAAGGAAACTTCTCCGTGGTCTCCCCTGCTTCCTCATCCAGCATCCAGGGTTTGGACAGCTCCTTGAACCGTCTCAGGCTCTACTCCTTGGGCTTCTTGTTCAGGTCCGGGATGACCTCCACGTCCGAGCAGTTGATGCGGAACTTGCTGAGCATGTTGGCCATGTTCATCTTCTCCCTGTCCATTTGCTCCTTCTTGCTCGTGGTGGCAAAGACGTGCAGCTTGCATTTCTCCCAGTTGGATTTCATGGAGATGAGGTGAGGGATGAGTAGGGTCAAGCCTGGGGGTGGTGGAGGGGTGGGGGCGGAGGTGGGGGGGGGGGGGGTTCACAAACAAAAATGATACAGAGCATTATTTCCCCTTGACATAAAGCAAGTGTTTCCTTAGACATGCAGCCATCCAGAATAACCTGAGAGATCTCTGAAAGGCTCCCTGAAATGAATAGGACACTGAAACAAAATAATAAAGCCAACCAAGAACAAAAAGTGTGGTGTTTTCTATTAGGCCAAAAAAAAAAGTCGGTCTCTGGTCTGCGCGCGCGTCAATTTTAATCATGCGCGTCAATCTTTTTTTCCAAAATGTTCCGCGGTAGTTCCGACAGCGCCCTCTATTGCCGCATCTCCTCAATTTGTTTTTAACAAAGAGCACCAAGGAATGGGAAATTGCTAGAGAGCACCATCGAGAGCACCAAGGCAAATTATGGAGGACACCAATGTACATGAGGACACCAAAAAAGCAAAATAGTACCCCACCTTGGGCCAAGTTCGCGCAAGGACTATAGTTGACCAATGGTTAACTAACGTTTGCCCGAACTCTGTCTAGTCGACGGTGATTGACTACGCTAGTCGACTATTTGGAACCAGCCTACTGGGGTTGGTTGCTTTGCTGGTAACCAATAGCCGTGCGTATTCATAACGCTAGCAGAGAGCCAGGATCCAGAAGTTTTGCGATGACATTTTGTCCAGCGTTGGACTAGAGACGTTCGCACGTTGCTATCAGTGCGCAGGCGTAAGGTACGTCACAAATCAACCACTAGTCGACTAATGGTCCTTGCCTGAACTTGGCCTTGTCTGTACAATCCAAGCTTGAAAAAAAAAAAAGCCACGTCCCCGCGTCAATTCCGGAACTTTGGTCTGACCAGAGACCAAATATTTTTTTTTGGTCTACATATAAGAAACAACTGTGTGGTAGGGTAGGTAAAAATCTGTTTTTGGGGGGGGGGGGGGGGTTGACATTTCTATAGCCTGAAAATATAAGGTGGGATGATTAGTCATTAAAATTTACTTTTTGTCTCTATTTTGCATGCATTAGTTAACATGTGAACCATTCTGCACTTCTCACCAACTTACACAAAAATAAAAATAAAGTTTATAGTTTTCACTATAGAAGGGGGGGGGTGCTTGAGCGCAAGAGGAGATTCTACCTTCTCTTTGAGCGTGGTGACTTCTTCCTTGCTGATCTTCCAAGGAAACTTCTCCATGGTCTCCAGGCTGCTTCCTCATCCAGCATCCAGGGTTTGGAGAGCTCCTTGGTGATTGTGTTGGTCTTGATCTTACCCAACCCACCAATCTAGACGGAAACCAATCAGGAAGGAAAATTTGAATGCATTTGCTCTAAATACATTGTGTCCAGGTCTTGGAAAATACCAACGTTAGTGCTGAAAAAAAGCTAGAAACCTGGACAAATCTGGTTTAATGATCTTGTTATACATTTTGCCACTTTGACTTAATTTTTTTAAGACCTGCTTGCATTTTACTCAAACTGTTCATCAAAATTCATTCCGCAAAGTCTTCTTCAAGTACTCAACTGTGAGTACACATTTCGGTACTCAAAATACTCATCGAAATATTCATTAAAATAATTCACCAGGGGTTACACAAGACTTGTAGAAAGGTACTCAACTAATACAAAACCTCAGGATTCATTGAAAACAAATGAATCGACTCATAAAGTAGTACTCAGTAAAAAGTAGTCTACTTGTCAAAAAAAATGCTCAACTCATACTCGACTTATCGCAGACTGCTTCACTCGTCAAGCAGACTCGACTTAAAAGACCGAAGTTATCAAACAGTACCTCAATCCATTTAAAACTGGTGTTCCAGAGTCCCTAACTTAACTCAACTAAACTCAACTTAAATAGATTCAAGTTTCAAACACAGGCAAAGTTCTTGTATTGATTTTCCATTGATTAGACACTGGAGTCATTCTGAACGACTGCAACACTCAATCTTTGGACGACTTTTATGTGTAGTTGCTCCTCAATGTTTCAAACGTCAAACTTAATTCAACTCTTTGGAATAATTTAGTTCGGCACTTCTCTGAATGCTAGTCTGAAACGCGTGTAGTTGTCAAAAGGTACACAACTCATCAAAATGCATAAAACTTGAGCTATCCACGCATACTCAGGTCTGACCCTGATCCCCCTCATAAGCCTACCTGCATGAGTGCCTGTGCCCCGGTTCTTAGCGTAGGGCTTGCTACCATGGCTGGGAATGCCTTGATCTTCTGAACATCCACCCATTTCTCCTGAGAGTCTGTTAGAAGCTCCATCAAATGTGGACTCTGCTCACCCTGTATGAAAGGCGGGACAAAATGTTTCCCCTTAAAGCTTAGCATCTATAGTTTACTAGAGAAATTAATACTCTACTAAAATAATAATTAAAAATATAATATCTCTCAAATTGTTCACACACAAAAAAGACAAATCAACCACTCCTTACGACCTTTATGTTTATGCTACAAACAACTTGCAACTGTAGCAGACTACTTATGATCTGCAATGCTATAGGTTCTGATCCCACTGCTTCACAAGGACAAACTTTGTCAAATCACAGACAACTTGCGACCGTAGCAGATTACTTACGATCTGCACCGCTAAGTTATGATCATAATGCTTCACAAGGACAAGCTTGTGTTAAATCACAGACAAGTTGCAACTGTAGCAGATTACTTATGATCAGCACCGCTAGGTACTGACCAAATGCTTCACAAGGACAAGCTTTTGTCAAATCACAGACAACTTGCAATTATATACCAGATTACTTATGATCAGCACTGCCGCATATGAGAAGGCTTGTGCTCTTGGTGATATGGGAGACGAAGTGAACCAGGGCAGGCCTGCATCCAGGGCGACCAGTCAATGCAATAATCTGTGGCCTGTACAGGAAAATACAACCATCCACAAATTGAAAGGAAGAGGGAATAGAACCTGGGACCTCCGGATTGCCGTTCCAGTGCTCTACCAACTGAGCTACCAAGCTCCATCATGTTTAGTCTCTCATTTTGTCAATGTCTATGTTAAGAATAGGCATTGGTCAGAGTTGTAATGACTCGAGTCGACTTGAGTCACAATTTTATGCACAATTTATGTACACGTTACTTTGCGAATACAGTACGGCCGGTACAGCTGCCGCTTGTAGTGTACATGCAAACATACAACATGACACAGACTCCCGCCTTGTAGTTCTGGAACGCACAAAATAACATTCCAGGGAAAGATTTCCATATAGTACTAACATCTACACCCTGTGTACAAACCCTGGATTGGACTGAAAAATTCTAAGTGTTTTCTATCTACACATCTACGCGGGTACTCAGCAAAGTCCACTTCTGGATGTTAAGGCTATTCGACAGCCAAACGGAAAACGAATAACGATTCCCATTTTCCAATTCGACAGTTAAACGGACAATTGACGGAAAACGAATAATCGATTCCCATGTAATGCTTGTATTTTCTCACTGCTCAAATTGACTTTGATGACATGAAACTGCTATCTGGGGGCTTGTTAGTCAATACAGAGGAAAATTAGTGAACTTATATGGAAATCTTTCCCATTCCGCAATCGGACTTTAAGCGCATTTTATGTTGTATACTTCCAGTCACTGCTCAGTTCATTGAATTTGAAAAATGATTGTAGGTGATCAGGGAAAATAAGGTAATCCTTACTTTTAGGACACCTCTATTTTTGTACGAGTTCTGTTCAAAACTGACTTTTGCAGATGACTGTCCAGTACCAAAGTGACTTTTGCAGGAAGTCTTTTTTTCTTCAGACAAACTCATGTTAGTTATAATTTTGAAAGCACATTCAAAGAAAATGTGACTTCCTACCTTTTTTTGCAGTTTGCCATCTCAAATGCTTTTTAAATTTATTTTCTGTTTGTCATCGTCGTCTTTAACCCCTCATAAATCAAAACCCTGCCCTCTTTCTACAAAATCAAACCTGCTGATATTCAAGAGGTGTCATTGCCAAATTGTCAAATGTGTCAATAAATATCAGAATGTCACTTTTGAGTGTCATTTAGTCAGCTGTTTTGGTGAGTCTTTTAACCTTATATAGGAATGGGGTCCTAAAAAAAGTAAGGATTTATACCGAAAATATTTAGTTGGTGGGTTTTTTCCAATTTGGTACAACTATAGAATGTAATATTGGCTCTTATCTGCTTCTTTTTTAAGCAAATGTACTCTTCAAATGCTCTGCCTATAATGAATTGACTAATTGAAGTGTGAATAAAAAGTCTAGACGTGATGACTTACATGTACGTTATCGATCGAGTTGTCTGCTACATCGCCTACTGCCATGACTGCTGACAATAATGGGATATCATCAAACAAGAGGCGGCGCCCTTCACAATTAACGGTGTGAAAATTAGTGACAATCTCATAACCCGTAAATTCCCGGTCGCATTAATTCCTTCCTAACGAAACCATTTCCCAATTCCTAAGCGAACAGAAAAACGGATAACGAAACCCAATTCCTAAGCAAAAAGAAAAACGGATAACGAAACCAATTCCCATTTCCTAAGCAAAAAGAAAAACGGATAACGGACTTCGAATCCAAAATCCATTCTCGACAACAAAACGGATAACGAATAACGATTCCCAAATCCCAAATCCTATCGAGAAAGGAATTGGGATTTCTCAATGCATGATGGGAAAATTCGGACGTCGAAACTTTTTCGCAACTTTGTCCCCAGGGTTAACTTTATGTCGTAACTTAATTTCCCGTACTAAGTACCTGTCAGTGCGTACCGCTCAACACTACGTAAACGAGATTGTATTTGACACCGTTAATTGTGAAGAGCGCCACCTGTTGTTTGGTTTTCCCTATAATGTATGTGGCGGCAGGCTAGGCCTGTACACCAAGCATGTTTTGTCAGGTAAGCCTGGACTATTTACTTGTCAAAATTCAACTTCCTTTCGGCGTACTGGAAAGATTCCCATATTTGGACATTACTCATTTCTCCCTTCAGTGATTTATGCCACAATTCCGGTTTAAAATCCCAGCAGGCACCGACCGTCAGACTGACGTTGTATAACGGTTGAATTATGGTCGCAACGTCGGATCAACCATACATAACCGAAAATCAACGTTGTTTTAGTCGACCAGAAGACGACGTTGTCATTATAACGTCTGCCGGACGTTGCTTTAGTGTCGACAATTTAACGTCAGAATTTTACATAACAACAACGTCGAAATGTAGTTGGAATTTGGTCGGGAATATTACCAAACGTAATTTCCACCATGGTATGACGTTGTTTTGTCAACGTCTTTACAACGGCCTGAAAAACAACGTTGTATTATTGTTATTTTTGTGTTTCCTTTCGAGACGTCGCAATTATGTCATGTTTTCAACCAAGATATGACGTTTGCTTTCTAACGTCGTTTCAACAACCCCCAAAACGACGTTGAATTGTGGTTGGCCGTTGGTTATAATATCCGACGTCGTTCTTATGTCATGCTTTTAACTAAAATGCAACGTCCGTTTTTGACGTTTTTTCAACGACTCAAAATGTGACGTTGAATTATGGTCGGCAGGCCCGTAGGAAGGTAAAAACTATTGGTCAGGCTCATCTCAGGGCAGGGAGCTCAGTTGATGCGAGCGCGTAGCGCGAAGCCCTTAACGGCGTGGGGTTCGGGGCCCGCTTAAGGGCCCCGAAAATTTTTGGATTCTAGACGCTCTGTGGTGCGATCTGAGGCAATTTCTTACCACTTTAACCTTTTTTTTTGTTTTAGCTATCATCATTTAAACATCATTTTCAAGTTTGGAGTCAATTATCTTTTTATTTTTTTTTAGCGTGAGAAATCCCATGTCGACGTTAGAGCATAGAATAACCTGAAATGTGTGAGTCTTACGCTCAGTGCGTGAGAGTTGGCAGGCCTGCAAGGCGGAGGATTTGACCCAATCCCTCCCAAATTAAATGTAACCAAACGCCACTCCCCCAATACTATCAATAGGCCTATATGTAAAGAAATACATGTGCATGTTAAAGGGAATTTAATTCTTCGTAATTTGTACAAGACACATTCTGGAGCACTGCACAACTGCAAGTTTAACCAGTATATGTCATTTGATGAACTTTACATAAATCGTCAAAGTTAAATCGTCACAATTTGGCCTATCGTAGTGAAAAGTTTTGGACATGCTCATCGCAAAACTTTTTTGGATCTAGATGCTCAGTAATGCATCTGAGGCATTTCCTGGCCACTTTCCCCTGTCTTTTTGAATGAAATGTATTAGTGGGTGGGTCATCAAAGTTGATAAATTACATCACAAGCATCACATCAAAACTGTAGCTTGACTCTCTTTCTAGATTTGCGCTCTTTAGCTTGATCCATGATTGTGTTTATAGGGAAAGGGCGTAATCATACATGTCGCCATGCACTACATGTTAAGTTAAATGGAATTTAACCATGAATTTTAGTTTTCCTCAGACTTGTACTTGTGTTTTCTTAAAAAGAAGTGGTTTTCTAGCTGAGAAAATAGCAAGGAAGAACCGATATTGTGCAAGCAAAATTCAGGGAATAATCCGTTGATACTAATATCTTGTTGGAAATTCCAAAATCATTTCAGGAAAGTTGCCGCCGTGAATCAGAGTTTATGAAGGGACGGAAAGTGGGATTTGCTATCACCATCAACAGGGCCGTTCCTCATTATTTACCTTTTATGGGATGTGAATCAAATTGGAGGACGAGAGGCTCTGCGGGCTGATGTATTTTTTAGAAAAACATTTTTGTTTGCAACCAGCTTGTAGGGAAGATTTCCATTTATTTAAGACTTAATTCATACCGGTGTATGTACATGCTTGAACTGCCGAGCGTATTTGTTAAGTTTTTTCTCTTTCTAAAAGAAAAACATCAGCTCGCAGAGTCTCTCGTCCTGATTCACATCTCATTAGGTAAAGAACGACGAACGGCCTTGTTGATAGCAAATCCCACTTTCCGTCCCTTTATAAACTCTGATTCACGGCGGTAATTACTTTCTTTTTTTGGAATTTTCCAACAAGATATTAACTTCAACGGATTTTCCCTGAATTTTGCTTCCACAAAACCGGTTCTTCCTTGCTATTTTCTCATTTAGAAAGCCACTTCTTTTAAGAAAACACAAGTACAAGTCTGAGGAAAACTAAAATTCATGGTGGCGGCCAAACGTCATTCCGTTTAACTTAACATGAGGCTTAGTGGCGACATGTATGAGTACGCCCTTTCCCTTTAAACACAAACACAAAAACAAAACAAAACACAAAAAGAAAACAAGAAAAATGTGGGGCAGGGCAACGGGGGCCATGCCCCCCCCCCAAAAAAAATTGAACTCCCTTTTTTTTTTTTAAAGTGGCGTCGCAATAAAGGAAGGCACTGCGTACACCGCCATCTTTTCCTTAAAAAAAATGGTTAAAGTGGTCACATCGCACCACAGAGCATCTGGAACCCCCCCCCCCCCAAAAAAAATCCGCCCTTGGGGCCATGCAAGGTCTTGTATACATTAAAAAAAAAAATAGGCCTGTTATTATTGGTACGGCTATAGCCGTACCTGCCGTACCGCTTCCTACGGCCATGGTATCTTCAACGTCAAATTCATACGGGCAATCGGTGTCTTTATCCGACCGAACAAAGAGGTGACCTTGCGCTAAAAACAAATGCCTCAGGGAAGTCCTGCAAGTATTCAGCCGCGAATACCATTCCCTTTTGTAACTTGATTGATTGGGGGTCAGTTTTCTTGGTTTACTGGGTGAAAGGTAAACAACAAGTGCAAACAACAAGCGTAATATAAATGCCTGCCATCAGAATACGACATAGTTTCCCTTTTACTGAAATATCACTTACCGATACCTTAAATGTGACCCGTTGACAAGGTTAAAACCCCATGTTTGTGATAAAAACTGGACAAATATTCTTTCACTAAAAGAAAGCTTATTAATTGGGTTTTCATATCCAAGATCTGGAAAGCGCTACAGTGCATGCAGAACTTCTTTTTTTTTTTTTTTTTTTTTTACACAGGGGCACCATTTTGGTTTCCTTTTGTTTTACTCACCCTGTAAATAATACGGGACTTACCAATGCCGGATGAGGAGTTAAAGATGACTGATAAGCAGGCAGTGCTGTTGAGTATCGTTCACGTACGCGTTCGAATTGGCAGTCTGATTACAAGTGGGAAAATTGTAACTTTTATTATGCAGCAACCGAAGTAACTCTCACGTTCCCCTCCACGTGACTGACTCCTTTGAGAACTGCGCATGACGAAATATGCCACGTGACTCAGGCATAAGGTAGCAGATCCCCAAACGAATACCGCTTAAAGGCAATATACAATACTTGCGAACATCAAGAAACGAAACTTCCAAAATTTCATGAAATTATTATGCAATATCGTCGGACTGTCAGTCAGTACATTTTCTCAAGCATCCTGTAAAATCATGGCATCTGGTGTATTGTGATTTCCAAAAAAAGGGGATTTTTTTGTATCGATTTCCAGGCCGACCATCGTTGGAAAAACTTACTGTTTTGTTAATACTGCCCCCCAATTTTTGCAAAAGCAAAACGTTGTATATTCCCTTTAAGTCGTGCCTTGAATATTCATGAAACCATTACTGACCAATAATAATGGCTTGCGTGGCCTGTTTCTGGTATGAAATAAAGTTTTACGTTGTTTTAGCACAAGCTTGCACGTAGCAGCTCAATATAATTGTGTGGGTGGTTTTTTTTTGGGGGGGGGGGAAGGGTAAACAGTCAGCGTTTTCTCTCTTGTCAAGTGGTGCGTTACTGGAATGCTATTCATATTTCAAATGCAGCGTCTGGTGACCTAGAGAATTGTGTGGCACCTGGTGAGTTCATATTTTGCGTTTATGCCACCGTATCAAACAACGAGGTGCCTTACACAAGTTTAAAAGCTAATGAAATCCTGTTTTGTCTCTTTGTTAGATATGGTTGTGTTCTTTGAAATTGTCTCTTATCCAGCCCTGACCAGTTCACTGAAAATGTTATTAAGTCAAATGACCAAAAAAGAAATAAAAAATAGGGATGCGCAGTGTCATATTTGACTAATTGATAGTTTGTCATGTATGGTAAATTTTGACTAATTATAATTAGTCCTGAAAAAGTGTCTTATTTGACTAATTTCTGAAAAGATTATTAATGCAATAAACTTAATTAGTAATGCGAGAAAATTAATAAGTATTAAGGGAAAATTAATTAGTAATGCAAGAAATTCAATTATTAATGCAAGAAATGTAATTAGTCGTATCAGAATATTAATTTGTCATGCATTCACGGTGCCTCGCAGTGTACCAGCTCTATTTTCGTGTCGTGTTTTGTCGTCTTCATCGTCGCTCACCCCCAAATTTCCCTAAAATTAACTGCGCTCATTTAAGTCCAATCTACAACATCCCGGTTCGTTTAAATATCGCTATAGTAGTTGGGTGAGTCCTATAACCTTATAGGAACGGTGCACGGTAAATACACAATCGTATTTAGCACAGAGTTTACTCCAGCGCGTAG